ATAGGGTTGCTATGGGTCGGAACCAACTTGATGGCACTTAGCAGCAACAACAAAACCCTTCCCATAGTGAAAATGTAACTAACAATCCAACTAGATACAATGGCAGAAGACAATGTTCTTACACCCCTGGTGGTACATTTCTAGTCCATACGCTTTAAAAATATGTACAATATAGTTATAGCACAGGGAAGAAATAAATGCATGCTCTAGACCATACATTCTTAGCCACCGTATCTAGAGTCTTGGTGTGGTGCTGCAGAATAAGCACTGGACTGCAAGCTTGGAGATTTAAACCCACCAGCTGCTCCTCAGAAACCCTATACAGGTTCATTATGAGCCAGAACTGACTCGTCAACACTTAACAACAACCAATTACTATAGGGAGTGGTGTGGTTCTGAAGGATAAGCACTGGACTGCTAACCACAAAGTCAGAAGCTCAAACTCACTAATCACTCTGCAGGTGAAAGATAAGGCTGTCTGGACCTTCTAAAGCTTTACTGCCTTAGAAACCCTCTATGTTGTCATTATTGTTAAGTGCCATTGTGTCAGTTCTGACCTATAGCTACACTGTTTAGGGTGTCCAAGGAGCAGCTGGTGAGCTTGAAGCACCAACCTCGCAGTTCAACAGCTTTTCAGTCTGGTGCATTAACCCACAGCCCCACACCAGGCCTCCAGAAACCCTCTATAGGGTTGCTATAAATTGGAATGGATTTGATGACACCTAACAACAGTAACAACTAATCACTATAAAAATACTTGTCCAGAAAAATTCAGAACAGAATTCTGACTTCCTTAAGGTGAGTTGGTTGATTTGCAAATGAAAAACATGTCTAGTTAAAAGGAGGCCATTTTCCAAGACTGTAATTTTTACGGGGGATTATAAGAACTTTGCCATTGTAAAATCTGGGTACCATCACCCTCAATCCAATCTCCCCACTTGTGTGTGTGTTGGGGGGTGGAGGGGTCAGGGTGATATAATGTAAAGTATTTGAAGGCTTAGCCACTAGAGGGAGAAAGTGTGCCTCTGGTGACAGGGAGCCAATGAAACACACCAGAGGATAGACTTTCCAGGGAGCTAAATTAAGCACTAATCAGCCAGGGCCAAGGACTATCTCAAAGTGGTAGCTTTGGGGAACTAGAGTATGACTACTTAAGGCTTTACCATAGATGTTTTTCTACTAAAGAATTAAATTGCTTAAATTACCAGCTATTTAATTTTGAACATGTCTTAATTTACCTTTCTAAGAACCTTTATGCGTAGTGATTACGAATCGGGCTGCGAACCTAAAGGTCAGCGGTTCGAAACTACCAGCCGCTCCGTGGGAGAAAGATGAGGCTTTCTACTCCCGTAAGGATTTACACCCTCGGAAACCCTGTACAGGGTCGCTATGGGTCGGAACCGACTCGACGGCACTTAACAACAACAACAACAAGAACCTTTATATCTTTGTAGATTCTTAAACTTTTAGGATTAGTATTTTTGGAGCAGTTTGTATCAATTTAGAAAAGTTAGTTACTCTATATGGTTGTTACGTGTGGTGGAGTCAATTCTGACTCATACAGACCCTGTACTGGGTTTCCAGGGCTGTAAATCTTTACGGGAGCAGAAAGCCTCATCTTTCTCCCTCAGTAGTTTGGAACTGTGAGATCAGTAGTAGCCCGACTCGTAACCACTATGCTACCAGAGCTCCTTAGTTACTTTATATATTGGGCATTTATTAATGGGAACATATTCTAATTTTCTGAGATAATTTAAGATAAAAGTCTTAACTGTCTATAACTGTCTATTGGGATGATTAGAAAGATTTTTGTAATTCTCTGTTCAGTCTTTCCAAAATATTTTAGAGTATAACTTTTATTTATATTAACTGGTAATAGGTTCAAATAATCTGAGTTATCAATATATAGTTCACATTAACCGTGATTTTTCATATGATCATAAAATTTTAAGCCTGAGCCCAAATGATTTGCTTTCTTACGAATAACCACCTTTGCAGTACGGTCTATTGATACAATTTTCGTTTAATAAAGACACTATTATTTTTTCAAAAGTGATTTATTATGAAATACAATCACTGAATAGTATCAAACAAATGTTGTTGTTAAGTGCCTTCGAGTCGGTTCTGACCCACTGCAACCCTGTATAGGGTTTCTGAGGAGCAGCTGGTGAGCTTGAACCACCGACCTTGCAGTTCAAATGGCTTTGCAGTCTGGCGCATTAACCCACAGCGCCACACCAGGACTCCTAAACAAATGATAGGGTACCCATTATGTGGTTATCAATGTGAATGAATTATTCTCCACCCTCAAATATTCCAGACAATACAGTGGTCACTGAAAATACAGTTGGTTTTATTTTCCATGTATCAGCTCTTTCTTCAGCAGATTAAAAACAACTATTTCAGGACTCTTGAAAGCTGTAGATGTACCTGCTCCAACTCTTTCAATATCGATTTTCTTCACATTCTGAAATACGCTCAGAAATGCTGCCAGGCAGTCCTGATAATTTCATGTGTTTTCAAACTTATATGCCACTCAGACTACAGAGTTCAGTATTTTCAGCTTTTTTCATTTTCTTTTCCCCTTTAATTAGAGAAGTTTCCATGCACTCTTTTTATAAATGTGGTCAAGAAGGGAACTAAGTGCTACTATTTGTAGAAAGAACATGCATTTGTTTTTCTCGTGATGATAAAAGAGTTTTTCCAAATTAAAAGGAAAAAAAAAAAAATAAGTCGGTGCCATAACTAATAGAGGTTATGGATGGGCTATTAAAACATTTTGGACACGCATCTTTTCCCTTGACTTTCGTGGATGTGGCAGCATATGCCCGGGGGTGTGAAAAAGCAAGTACACCTTGTAGTTGAAAACTTGCATGGCACAGTACTTTGAAAATAGTACGACTTGAGCTTCATTTCAAACCTGAATCTCCTTGCTGCACTCCCCGGGGGAGACCCCTCCACCTTGATCCCGATCCCGGGTCTACTAGGGGCTGTTTGTTGACACGGCACAGCACAGTTCATTGCGAAGCCCGAGTGGGTGGGTCCACGCGCACAGCCCGACTCGGGCCAGGACGCCGCTCCCGGAGCTCCGCGCTGGCGCCCAGATCGCCGTCCCGCTCCCAGCGCCCGGCCTCACCAGATCCCCGCTGGAGAAAACTTCCCGCGGCCGCAATGAGCCTGCCCTCATCCTTCCAATCTTTCCTTCCCAGCCGGCAGAAAACGTGAGGTTTATTACGACTCGGGAGGAGTAGGCGAGGGTCGCCTAGGCACGTTTGTGAGCTGGTTACCTGGTCTGCTTAGGGGGGCGGGGTCCGCGGTCTGGGGACTGCCGGGAGGGGGGACGACGCGGCAGGGCGCGCGGGTGGGCACGAGGGAGTGCGCGCGTCGCGGAACCGCCGGGGCAGCACTTGTCCTGTAATCGATTGCCGAGAGCGCCGAGCGGCCGGGACCGCAGACACGCGCACACGCGCCCTCGCGCGCCCACACGCGCGAACACACAGGCACACACACAGACACACACACACACTCTCAAGGCGCCCAGGCCCCGCACACACGCAGGCTCGCGCGCGCGCACGCACGCCTGCCCGCCAGCGCCCCGGGCCCAACCGCCCGCCCGACCTCCGCCCGTGGGCGTCTGCGCGAGCCCGGCCGGAGGGGGAGATGAGCTCGGGCGCCGCCGGATCGGTTTCTCGGGGTTTGACCAGCTGTCCCGGGCTAACCCTGCTCCTCGCTGAAGATGGAGGAAGTAAAAACAGGATTACCCTTAGCTACAGATCCACTGCCTTAGTTTCCACCACCAACTGCAGTGCACAAACACACGTTAGGCACAGGAAAGAAAGAAAGAGAGAGGACACACTAAGAGTAAACACAAACAAAAGGGTGATGGGATTATTTTACTGCATGCATTGCTGAGGTAAATCTCCGCTTGGCTTTTGCGTGGTGAAGATCAGTTCTTGTTTTATTTGTCTTCTGATTCATAGATTATATATAAATATGTGTATCTGATTTGCAAAAGGGGGGGGAGTGTTTTCAAAGTTAAGTGTAATTATATAGCATCTCGTTTTGCACTGTGATGTGATCAAATGACTTGTTGCTGTTAACCAGTGATACTAATAATATAGATATTTTTCTCTGGGAGGGATGGATTGTGGTTATGATTAGGATAATGATTTCTGTAAAGGGCGCTCAGGGAATCGGGTTGAAGATGATGTCCTCTGTCTTAATTTCGCGCTCCCTCCTTGTAATCTGTTTCTGGGATGTTAATCGATTAATCAGTTCTCATTTCTATAGCTGTCATAGATTTAGGCTTGTTTTGCTTTGTTTTAACTTCAATTCCAGAGAGAATGGGTAGCCTGAAATAAATTGCAGCTGTCCAGATAGAAGGACTACCCAGATCTTGTAGGGAAATAAAACAAAAACAAAAATCAACAACAAAACTGGTATGACACATGGTAAAAAAAAAAAAAAAAAAAAAGGCAGCATTTAAATCACTTTGACAGGTTCTGGTATGGGCAAAAGACAAGGAATTCAGATGATGATGATGATGATTTTTTTGCCAAGGGCCAAAAACAGTGCTGTGAAGTTGGCCTAGGTCCTTGCTGGGTTCTGTCTGACTGTCCCTCCCCCTTTGCCACCCCCCCCCCCCTTTTCTTTCAGTTTTCTTGTCTTAGCTTTTGGTCGATTCTTAAGGAACCGGTGGATCAAGTTTTTTCTCTTCTTGTTAATCGCATTGCTGTGGCACTGACTGACCTCTCTCTCTCTCTCTCTCTTTTTTTTTCCTCTTTCCTGAAAGTACGTGGTGCCATTCCTGAGTGACTTTTCCTACTAGACCATCCCAAAGGGACGAGGGGGAGGGGTGGAAAGAGGAGGAGGAGAAGGGGGGTGTTCCTTCTCTCTCATTTCTTGGTTTTGTTTATCAGCCGATCAGTTTGCTGGATTTGGGCTCGGAATGACCCACCTGTAAAGTGCTTTTCCTTCCTCCTCGCCTTGAACTCTGCAGGGGGCTTGGCTAGGAAGGGGCAAGGGAGGGAAAGAGAGAAAGGGAAAACACACAAAAAAAACTTCTTTCTTTCTCTCTCCGTTTATCTTCAGCCCGACATTGTCACCTCCTCTTTGAGGGGTTAGAAGAAGCTGAGATCTCCCGACAGAGCTGGAAATGGTGATGAATCTTTTTTAATCAAAGGACAATTTCTTTTGTATGTACATTTCGTTTCTCTTTCTCTCTTTTTCTTTCTTTCCTTCTCTGAGGGTTAATAACCCTTTCATTGATGGGGCAGACTTCTTTCGCTTCTCCCTGAGGTTTCTTTCTTTTTATCATGTGTGCGTTAAATGTGTACAGTTTTAAAGAGATAAACTCCTATGTAAGATACTCGAAGAAACTGCTCCCCCTTTAAACTTTACGGATCTCTTTCTTTAAAGCCTTATGTAATCATAATTTAAAAGAATTTGATAACAGTGCAGCAGGTTGAAATTTAAGTGCTATGTACTAACTGAGTTGGGAATTTGATCTGATTATTCCATAAAGAAAGAAAGAAAAGTTTTTTTGGGGGGGTGGTGGAGGGTAGTGGTGAAGAAGGGGAAGGGAGGGAGAAGGGAAGTGGTTTTGGAGACAAGAAGTGAGGCTGCCTGTTTTCCAGTAAGTAATGGAGAAATTCCAGGAGCCAGGGCTAAATATACTTGGCGATCAATACAGAAATGGCTCATTGTGAATAATTTAGCTGCTGGTGCAGTGAGAGTTTTGAAACTAAAGGCAAAAAGGAGCAGGGCCAAGGGAAGAAAAAAAAAAAAGTAAAAAAAAAAAAAAATCTCCTCAGGACATGTCAATTCTTTAAACTTTTTCTTTCAAAGAATACAGTTAGATTACTGGACTTTTCATTATGTATAATCAAAGCTAGGGGGTGTCATCTCATACAGTTTACTTTTGTTTCTGAGAATTAAGTTCTTGTTTTTTATGTACACGAAAATAGTTCCCCAAACTTTAAAAGAAAAAAAGAAACAGAAAAGTGATTCCGCCTACCCCACTGCACAAAAGTTTATGAAAATTTCAAAATCAAAATGCATTAATCAGGTTTGGCATCCACATCATACATCCACGATCTGGCAGGAAATTAAGGTTCCATTGAACAGGTGCTTAAATAGAACCTGGGGTAGGCTAAAATGTCAATACAAGTCAGGGAGTTAGGTAACTGCTACATAAATCTTGGAGGCACATTTGGGCACCAAGTTTTGTTTTGTTTTTTGTATGTTTGTTTGCCCCCCCCCTCCACCCCCCCATTAGAACATGATGAACCGACTTGCAACAATTGTGAATAGAGCTATCTGTATACTGGGGAAGTCTTCAAACTGCAGTGTGATTGTGGGAACTAGTGAATGATAAAATACTTAAATCCCAGTTAAAGCTGGCACATTCGAAGTGTGACCACCCCCCCTCCCCAAGATCCCAGTATTTTTTCTTTAAGCCAAGTAAATTCTGATGCAGAGAGGCATTCCTTTCTTGCTACAGCCCATCTCTAAGCACACATATCTTTCCTATCCTATCTCCAGCAGGAATCAGATCATTTGCAGAAAGAGTTCAGTAACTTGCAAATGAGCACATACAGTACATTGTAGTATGTTTCTTGGGCACAGGTTGCAGCAGCAGCAACACAGGCTAACTGCTTGAAGCTTCAAATAAAAGTTAAGCATTTAATGGCAGATACTGAAAGGAATCATTGTCATAAGGGCATAATCTTTTATTTTGTAGCACTGCACTTTGACTATGGAAACAGAAGCTATCGATGGCTATATAACGTGTAAGTAGTCATTTTCATGAATTTGGTTTTAGGAATAAAATTACCTTTGTTTTACCTTATTTTAGTATATGAATTATAAGACTTTATCAAGTACTCTGGACTCTTTTTATTTATTTATTTATTCAAAATTTCACCTTTAAATGAGTTTTAAAGGGAAAGAATAGCACAGAAACAAAATAAGAAAGAAATAGAGAAATTTACTAACTACTGAGTGCATTAAATCAGTAGTAACCTAGCAGATCAATATTTTCCTCATTGGTTTTTTTTTTTTTTTTTTCATTTACTTTATTGTAAGTTTCAAATAGGTCACCTTACATATATATGTACCAATAATGGCGTGTACTAAATATTTACTACTCTGTAACCTAGTTTTTCAGTCACATAATGTGAAAGAGACTATATGCTTCCTTAAGTTGACAGTTTGTTAGCCAACTTTCCTTTCTAACATCCAACTCTGATAGCCAGCATTTTAGAAAATGCTCATTATAAATGCTAAATGCTTATTATTAAATTAGATGTTAAGAGAGGACATTTTTGTTTTTTTCTCAACTAAAGGGTACTTTAGAAATCAACTACTTTAATTCTCTTTATTTTACAGCTACAGATAGTACAATACTGCATTCTGTTTATGTTTTTATTGTGGATTGGTTATGGCTTTTAGTAGATTCACTCATTTACTATTTTATTTCTAAGTATTTCTGTATAGTTTCTTTTAAGGGAAAAACATGCTACATTAAAATGTCAAGGCTATGAATGACACTGTATATATGGAGCAAAGTTAAAGAATTAGATTTTTTCTGTATAATGAACAGAGACTGAAAGATTGTTATTTTGTGAAAGCAGGTGACAATGAGCTTTCACCTGAAAGGGAGCACTCCAATATGGCAATTGACCTTACCTCAAGCACACCCAATGGACAGCATGCTTCACCAAGTCACATGACAAGCAGTAAGTCTTCATTGTATGATTTTTTTTTTTTTCCATTTCTCTAGCGACAGATGCGAATTTCTTAGGTCTATGGGGCCTCTCATATTGTGGTGTAGATACTGTGATAGATTTTGTCAAAGAAAGAACAGAGATTTATACCTGTTCATTTTAGTATCTTAAAACATGAGTCTGCTTACTAGTCTGAACTATCCCAAAGTGGAATTTGGGAGCTGGTGCTTACCTGTTTCAGGTAAGAAATGTTAGGACTTGCTGGCTATTGTTTTGACTTACCAGTTTTTGACTGGAGTTTTGTTGTTGGGTAAAAAAATATAGAGATGCTATTACCGAAGGAGATTTTCAGTTAAAAAACTGAAATTATGTTGTACTGCCTTGCTATAAAGCTACTATCATCAGTGGTATTACCTGCTTTTATATATATATATATATATATATATATAAAACAAAACAAAACAAAAAACATGTAAAGTTCCTCCTTCAAAATATTGGAAGTGAGATGTGATTTCAGAAGTATGGAATTCATTTACATCCATTTTCCTAGCAAAGTGAAAGTGTTTGTTTTAGGCTGTCCAGAGAAGAAATAAGAAAATTTGGAAGGAGGTTTTTGAGTTTGCAGAAATAGACAGTTTGGGCTGTTTTTTATAAAAGGTCATTCATAGATATAGTAAGCATTGTATTTATGTAGTAAAAGAACCATTTGTATACTTAGAATGATAGAAGGTAACATACTTTTATTTATTAAGAGTTTTATTATAACATTGTATCCGTTTAGTTATCAAGTATAAATGAATGCTGTATTACTTGTATCTAAAGCAATTTGAAATCATATGTTCCTCTTATGCTTTCGGTATAGTCTTGTATATGTTTTATATGTTACATATTAGTAAATATATGATTTACATATAAATATAATTTAATTTAAAAGTTTTATCTTTGGGTGATATATAAAGGAAAGGGATTTTCTTTCCTTTTTTTTAAAACAAAGATTTAAGGAAAGAAAATTGAATTATCTACTAAATTATGAGCAAGTTCTTAAATTAATTCTGCTTATATGGAGATAAGCACCTTTCTTGTTTAAATTACTTCCTTACTACAGTTTTCAAAACTTAAGGTTGTTATAAAGTGACAAGCTTTCTAAGTAGTAAAGATTTTTGAATTATAAGCAAAAGTACAGAATACCATTGATGAAACTTTCAGTTTGAATACATTTTCAATATTAATAACTTCAAGTTATTTGAGCTAGTCTTCAAGTTATCAATGAAGTATGTAAACTTATTTATTTGCACGTTTCCTTTCTTTTTTTAATGGGAAGCACACCTAAGACAATTTCATTCTAGAAGCAGTTGAACTTTCTTTACATGTAGAAAGAAAAGTCAATTAAAGTTAGTGAGTGAATGTATACTAACTTAAAAGTACAGTATCAATCTCCTATAATGTATCTTGTAGTGTTAATTTTTAAAAGTTAATTTGGTTAGTGGTTGGATAGAAGTCATAGTACAGCAATGTAGGAAGTACAATTTTGTATTTTAACACATAATGTTATTGGTGATTTAGTAGAATAGATTTTTATTTCTCAGATAGTTTTCACTTAATTTGTTAAAGAGTAAGATTTATATGTAATTTCTGTTAGCTAAATATTCAGCTATTGGCTTCAGATATACTGGATATGTGAGATAGATACTCATCAAACTGAAAGCACTGCCAGCAAATAGATTCTGGTTCATAGTGACCTTACAGAATAGAATAGAAGTGTCCCCCTCACCACCCCCTGGGTTTTAAGGTTTTAATTCTTTAGGGAAGTAGACTAGACTGCCACACATTTCTCCTGCAGAGTGACTGGTGGGTCTGAACTGCCAACCTTTAAGTAGTCAGCCGACCACCTTAACTACTGCGTAACCAAGGCTCCTTTATGGGATAGATACTAACTAGCAATCCAACTTGTGATCATCATCCCTATCCACTGCCAGAATATCAACTGGAGAATGCTTTTTAATTGGCTAATTGGCTCCTTATGAATTTGATTTTGGTTTTGCAAGTACTCACTTCACAAAAGCCGTTTAACCATCTATTTTAAATAAACAGTGCGGAGTGTAGACATAATCAATTTAAACAAATACGAACTGTGCCTTTGACATTCGAGCTTTTCTCACCCAACAACAGTAAAATTGTGTGTTGGGTAAAGACTTTTTTTTTTTTTACCTTATTAGCCTGTGGCAATTCCATGTTAGTACAGTTTTTGGCTAGGCTGTGCATGTTTTTAGGTTCTATTCCAAAGGGTTGTAGGTTAAATATGTTGGCTCTCACTTCAGAGCTGTGTGTTGCATCCTTTATGCAGCCTCTATTTACAGTATCTAGGTTACCCACTTAGGTGTTAGATGGAGAAGATACCCATTTTCCTCTCTGTTAGATCTAGGAGAATATCAGCATTTTAGATTGCCAAAGCAAATAGTGGTAGAGAGGGACTGTTGTCTATTAAGTCTAACAAGAGACCTAGAATCAGCCACGCAGGTGTTTTTCTGGAACTTGGAATAATTTTGTGTGTTTTTTACCTGTCAAATCACTTGTGTCCAGATTGCTTGTTTTTCTCAACCCTTTAATGCTCATTGTTGACTTTTTAAGCGAAGATAACGTATTTATTCTCAGCATGTTTTCATACCTTCAAATATATTTCCTGGGGGGACTACTGCTTCCAATATTGGAATTACCGTTTTGATCAAAAGTATTAAAGCCAAAAGTAAATGGGAAAAGCTTTATATATAGTATAAAGTCTCCCATAGCAGCAAGAAGAGGGCAGGAGCAGATTAAAACATAGACTGTAAGGGGAAAAATATTTTAAAACCGTTTAGAAAACAATAAAAGAATGAAAACATTTGGTTTTCCTAATAGCTAACACACTGTTCATATAATGTCAATCAACTGTGCTAGTCCACTGATTGTGGCCAGTTTAGGAAAGTGGCCCATAGGAAAGTCAGCATTACTATAAGGTCCTAGTCATTTGTTTAGGTGACTTAGTGACTATTAGAAGATGAAGCATATCTGTACTACTTGCTGCCAGCTATTGTATAAAAAAGAATGATACCAGCTATCATTGTTTGACAGTGCTAGAATTAGAGCACAAGCAACTTGGGTGAGAAGTAAAAATGTTATAATGCTTGGCAGTTTTGTGGTTTAAAATTCAGCATGTAAGATAATCTTAAAAAGAAGTAAGAGGTATTAGTGATCTTAACATTTTATAAGGACAGCTTCCTATATTTTAGAATGAGTTTTTGTAGAAAATTCTTGACATTTTCTTCTGGAATAAGTAATTCTTTGATAAGAAGATAGGCATTGTTGCCTGAGATCATTAGTGTACATATTGAGTCGGCTGACAATCTTCAGTGTCAGGGATGACAGTATATGCCTTGATGGCTACTGGAAATACACAGTGTTAAGTGATTTTAAAAATAGAATCTGGAAGTTAGAATTTGAGACAGATAACTGTAACAGAACAATATAAAAATAATCCATATTGTTATTTGGCCTATCAGATGAAACTGACTTGTGATTCCGTTTCTGTTTTTCTTTTCCAATTCTTGCATAGCTGCTTGAGTATCAGTTTCAAAGTGATATATACCTGCTGCTGACTACTTTGAAAAATATTTCAGGTTCCCAAACTTATAATTAATTAATTTTTTTATAATCTACTCCTAAAATGCCTGTTAGTAAATCTTGCAGATAGTTGAATTGTGTGACGATACATTGTATCACAAACTGTATGTTTTACTATTTTAATACCTTTGTATGGATCAACTTCTCAATCAATATTATTCAGCAGTCAGTTTGGTGGCCAAGTGGCACGAATGGAATTGGGAGAAGCAGTAATTCTAGTTTTACAAGGCTCTGACCAATAATCAGGTCAGGGAATCTACTTTATTCTTTTCAGAGTGCTTCCCATTCATTTTTTTCTCAGCTGGTTTCCATTTTGAGTACCTAGTGAAGCAGAATTATATTCTGATTTCTATTTTTTCCTGTGTAGAAGTTGAGACCTGAAGATATTAGTCAACTTTTAGATAGCTTAGCAGTAGGATGAAGTTATCAGGACTGCGACATAAAACTGTGTTACGTTGTGGTTTAGTGACATTATTTCATTGGCGTCCCTTAATGTCATTTCATGGTGCCCACCATACCCAGCACTGTTTTAGTAACAAAAGCAGTATTATAAAAGTAGAAGGCTGTTACAAGGCTAGAATGATATCAGGTAATTGTGTTAAGCAGGAGCACTAATAAACTTTTTTGAATCAAGCTTATGTTATGGGACTTACCAGCTTTCTGAGTTGTCTTCTATAGTTTTGTTTGGCAGTCACCCTTGGTTGGATTTCCATAGACACACCCTAATATAACACCAGAAGGTTTTGATGTAAAATATCACTCTATTTTGAGTTGTAGTACTTAGATCTGTGTATACCTTGCATATTTTAGATTTAGCTCTTTTTAAAGCAAAAATTTTTTTGAAGCTTGATTTGATTTTTTTTTTTGCAATTGTCAGCACTCAGTGTCATAACTATGTAGCAAAAGAAAAAAAAATGTAAAAAAGGGAATGAGAAAAGTACATATGTGCAGAAAATTCCCAACAAATGTGTTATATTTGTTCTTTGCTCTTCCTTCTCCATTTTTTATGACTGCTTAGAACTGAGAACCCTCTTCAGGAGGTCACAGTCTAGTGGGAAGGACAGACAGCTAAACAGGGCATTATCCTATGGTAAGCTCAGTACCCTGACTACTGTGTGGGTTGCTGGGGGGCTCTAATTCGGGAAGGCTTCCTAAGGGGTCAGCTTGAGCTGAGACTTGTTAAATGAGTAAGATTTAAAGGAGCCGGTGAAGGCTTCCTCAATAAACATGCACTTATGATGAGCACAGGTGAGAAATGATATTAAATGTTCTGGGAAATATATGCAGTTTGTATTAAATTGGAGTCTAAAAGCTGAAGACCTAAAATTTCACTGAAGAGTTAAGCAGGGCAAGAT